ATGGTATATGTGAAGCTAGCGAAACGACCGCGAGCACGCTATGAGCCTGGTATGTAGCCATGTTTTACATAACACACATATCATGATTATCATGTTGGGACGTGTCATTGTTTTCGTCATCTATTCAAGTCACGCGATACCAAATTTGGTATATGTGGAGCTAGCGAAACGGCCGTGAGTGAATCATAAGCGTAGTGTGTTGTCATGTTCTTACATGACATACATATTATGATTATCATGTTTGCACCATTCATATACCTTTGTCGTCCGTTCACGTCCTGTAATGCCAATTTTAGTATATCTGAAGCTAGCGAAATGACTGCGAGCGCACCATGAGCGTGGCGTGTAGTCGTGACTTACTTGACATGGATTTCATGATTTCCACATTAGGGCCCGTCACTTATGTTCGACGTGCAGTCATGTCATACCATACCAGTATTGCAATATGTTGTGTGAACGAAACCACCGCAAGACCAGCAAGACCATGACATGTAAATCATGACATTCATCACATGTCATGTTTTTCATGTTATGGCAAGTTAGTTATGCTCGTCATAAAGTCATAATATGGCATACCGGTTTTGGTATAGATCTCATCATCCAAACGGCCAAGAGAGCTGAATTTTATAGGCTGCTAGATAGATAGATGGATGGATGGATGGATGGATGGATGGATAGATAGATAGATAGATAGATAGATAGATAGATAGATAGATAGATAGATAGATACGGTCAATGTCGCCCAAGTCCGTCAAAAAAATGCTTCGCATTTAAAAGTATGCGTTCTATGTGGTAGAAGAGCGCATTTCGAGACATGATATCGCTATTGCGTTCAACTCTTGAGGGAGAAGCTCAAGGGTTTCTCAGTTTTGAATAAAAACGTACGAATGAGAACGTGGAGTGTGCAACGATAGCAGAAAAAGTTCATTGAGTCTATTCCCTGTGTTCTTCAAGGTGTATCAGACCATATTCGGAGAGCTTTGCCTCCGTTGGGCATAAAAACCGTTTGTAAGCCCCACTTGAAACCCAAAGACCACACACCTTCGGACGATGAATATGGTGTCACCGACAAGTAAGATGCGTTCATTGTGAAGTGACGTAATAAAGTCGGTGAAACGGGCTGCAAAGCGCCGGGAAATAAAAGGTCAAAGTCAGCCGTGCAACGTGTTCTCAGGGGAGCTTGTTGAACACTGCTGGACAGGGCATAGCTTCGAACTTAACAATGTGATAACACCATAGAGAAACATACACACATAAAGAGCGGACACTCCCGTAGGGCCCTGCGGCCGAGATACTGCGCTACTTTCAGCGCCACGAGTGGCTGGTCAGACCCGATAATGTCTCTTGCATAAATAAAGTAACAGAACGTTTTCTTTCTGATGCTGGGATTTGAACCCGTACCCCCATGCCCCGAAAGTGAGTGTCTTTACCACTAGGCTTCACACCCATGCTTCCAAGAAAGGAATACATCTACAGCACATCTAAACTACATGAATGTGTACTCTTTGTGCGAAATATATGCAGAAAACAACACTTACTAGTCAGACTTTACTGACTTTTGTGGCAAAGCATTAAACGTCCTCTGCGGCACACGTTGTAGAGCGGATGTGGATAATTGCATGAATCAATAAAGTTTCTTATATGAAAAAAGTTGATGCCAAACTTAGGTTTTAATTGACCTCCTGAGGCGGCTATTATATGGCCTGACAGAAGTGTAGAAGCAAGCATGCGCGCGCCATCTAGCGGTTGGCCAGAGCCTATCTTACTGGGCCACGAAAAAGCTCGAGTGGCCACTCTTTATATAGTATGTTTCTCTGTGAAAACACTTCCTTATGAACGAAAACGAAAGGGGTGGGGGACCTCTGGCTTGCAAGAGCTACCGTGGTGCCTTACGGTACACTTGTAAGGACATGTGACTAATCGATGCCCATTCATTTTTGCCCTTTTTATGTCAATATATGCTGAGGACGCCACCTGCATAGAAGGCAAATTGTCTGGCACTCTGCCGCTAATTGTTGAAGTAAGCTGGAGTAGAGATTCGACAATCGGTTGCAAAGAAGTTTCAAGTTTCTTGGCTAGTTAAGGACACTTATGGCTTTCAGCCGTTTCGCACTGCTGTTTCTTAGTCATCTGTCTAACACAACTAGCTCGGCACCTCACACGAAGGAATGCTCCACGGGTACACCAATAAGAGAGCTAGAAACACAAATGAAAAGAAAGGTACATATGCCCCCCCCCCCTCCTTACCCCCTTCCTCGTTCCTTCCTCAAAACAGGGGGAGGGGACTAGAGAGAGATGATATAAGGCAGAGAGATCGACCGGAGCGAGCTTTCTCAACCGTGTTACTCTGCACAGGGGAAGAGAGACAGTGAAAAAAAAAAGTGGTATAGGATAACGATGGGGGCAGAAACAAGTTATGCGTGTATTCAATAATACTGTGGCTTCGCTAGAGTCTAGTGTCCCGTCCTGTTTTTTTAGGAAACCTATCACCAACAATATAGCCGTTTTTTCGATCTTGTGTGGTCACACATTGCTGATAAAATGCCACTTTACGTGGTCACACCGTTATGATGTGCGTTGCCACACCACAACGTTGCCATCATTGAAGCGAGCGTTTTTCATTGCGACACTTAAAGTATAGGAAATCACAAAATATATGGGCGGTTCTTTTGCACACTTGACAGATTAAAGGGGCGCTTCAACGCTTCATAATATGGATGCTGACCACATTAACAAGTAGTGGCGCCTACAAGAACACGTGCAGAAATGCCGATTGAAGGCGCGGGTCTGTAATTGGATAGGTGAGGGGAAAACAATGTAAGAGCGTTGATATAGACGCTGTCTAGGCAAGAAAGACATGGAAAACCACAAATCATTATAAAAGTGTTCACGAGTGGCCTTGTTATAGCCCCGTTGCGCACGTACGGGTCACTCTTGAAGCCCCACATTATTTGTTATTATTGCAAAGGCATTCTCAATACGTTGATATAACGGACACTATGACATGCAAGTGACCTGTATGTAAGAGCTTTCAGTTCATTTCAGTGGGAAGCCATTTTACGTCACAAGGCAAGAGAAACATGGTCAGGTGACCCCGCGAAAATTAAATTGAGGGTAGGCGTCTATTTTAATGTATTTTGATTTTTATAGGCCGAATAACTTCAACTTGCGTGCTCCTATATCGCTGCCATTCTTGCTGCACTAATCACATAAGCCTTCAGTTGACGTGACCCGCTAGTGAAACATGTAAAACAACGACGTTTAGAAAAGCGTTGAAGAATCCTTTAACAAGCCTTTCAATTGCAAAGTGATTGATTTCTGACATGTAGTTTACAAATAAACTTGGAACTTTCTCTGCTAGTGTCTCGCTTTAATCCCCCTACCCCTTCCCCCTTTATGCCGGATCGTCAATAAAGTTGTTTCACTCACTCACTCTGAAACGAGTGCCTAGTGGCTGGAATAGCAACAAAAAGAAAAGACTTTTGCAAGCTTCTGCAGACAGTGAGCCAACGCCCATGCTGACGTTTCCTTCACGATGCTTTGTTTGAGGAAGCTGCGTGGCCGACCGGCCTCGTAGGTCTTGACAAGAGCGATTGAGCTGCCGTAAATATTTTACTGTCCTTCTGGGGAGAGACGGTGTATAAGAGACCCGTCCGCCAACGTGTCGTCGTGATGGACCGTCGCCCCCTCTGAGTGCCTCTAAGCGGACGAACTTTGCGAGAGCGAGTACACCGACTCATCGGCAACCGTGTGTTATTGGCCTGTGCTACGGCGGGTGGTGTCATGTAATCCGGAAGGAGAAGCCCAACTGAGGGGTTAAAATGACGTTGCGGAGTGCAAGACGACGATCTGGACCGATGGCTCTGAGCCTTACCTAAAAGGCTACGCTCATGGCTCGCTGATCTCTTACGTTGTAAATAGTTGTACAAATAGTGTGAGTGAACCAATTTGTCTTTCCTCTTCCCGACTTGCTGGAATCGTTTCCTCAACCCGGAGAATCTTCACGCTACCAAGCGGAGTCCAGGTCGCGTCCGGGTCTGACGTAACCCTAACGTCTCATCAACTGGAGTCAGCCGGGACGTGGCGGTGAACCGAGGCCGCAACACTGACAAAGACTTTTTGCAGCCTGGTCTCACGGAGTAGAACGCACAAACACAGACACAATTACACGCAAACACAAACACACACACACAAACACACAAACACGATTGATTGATTGATATGTGGGGTTTACCGTCCCAAAACCACCATATGATTATGAGAGAAGCCATAGTGAAGGGCTCCAGAAATTTCGACTAACCGGGGTTCTTTAACGTGCGCCCAAATCTGAGCACACGGACCTACAACATTTCCGCCTCCATCGGAAATGCAGCCGCCACAGCCGGGGTTCGAGCCCACGACATGCAGGTAAGCAACCGAGTACCTTAGCCACTAGACCACCGCGGCGGGGCGACACACACACACACACACACACACACACGCACGCACACACACACACACACACACACACACACACACACACACACACACACACACACACACACACACACACACACACACACACACACACACACACACACACACAACGCTGACTGCTGACTTCCAAACTGGAAACGCGGTGGCAGCGCGGTTTCACTGGCTCCCCCTCTGACGCCATGCAAGATGACCGGCCACGGCGAAACAGCGAGAACGGCCAGTGTAGCTCACAAGGCGGTGCTATACCTTGTTATGTTCGCCGTACCAGGTCCAGCGCTCTTTCTTCCCTTCTCAATCATGTACCGACCAGCCCAGTCAGATGCACTCCTGCTTCAAGGATAATTTGGCATTGCGACTATCGCGGCTTTACAGAAGGATGCCCAATAATCCCAGTGAAGCCGTCGCCTGAGCATCCGCGGTACTGCGAAGCTGCGCAGGAGGCGGCAAGAAGCACTTCGACCGCCGTCCGGTGTCGGGTTTCTGCGCCGAAGGCACAGCCGTGGACAGCCTCTGCAGCCACTCCAATGAGCGCTTGGCCGCCTGCCCTGACCAAGGGCCCGGAGCTTGTGTTTCTGCGTCTGCTGCTACCTTCGCTACTCTTCAGCTCTACCCTATGGCCGGGAGCACATGCACGAAATGCCTGTGAGTCACAGTCATCATCGTATCATTCGTGCTATCGTCGCCGCGCGACACGGTACGCAAACTGTTCGTGATCGAGTTTACAAGAAAAAAAAAGTAAGGAACAACTAAAGCACACATCGCTAGTCACTTTCCTGCCAAATGTCAGGTTGTCAAAATATGACGAATGTTAGTGCGCTATTAAGGAAAGGTTGCTACAAGACTGTAGCTGTGTGTCGGGAGTTTCACGCGAGCCACGACACGGTCATTTCTTTCGACAAAAGAAATATGGAGCGTCACTATGCCTTTCGCGTTTACAAGATTGATCCTGAGATATGTTTTGAAACAGTGATTACTTTAAATAATAGCCAACAATCTAATTTTTTGTTAATTCGATTATTGGTCTGTGTTTTGTGGGACTGTGTTCCTTTTCGATCTCCGCCACAGTTATCGCTACCAGAATTTTGCGTTGGTGACACTTTTGCGCCAACGACATTGCCCATATAAATTTTAGTCGGGTGCCTGTATACAAATAGAAATTATAAAAAAAATTGCGTGCAACAGTTAGCAACGCCTGAATGAACGCAACAGTGGTACATCGCGTTGTATTTCTGGGAGTATCTCGGGAGCTGACTGTCATATTTTACGAGAAAAAAGTCTGTATTTTCTTATATAACGCTCTTCATGTGTGTGTGTGTGTGTGTGTGTGTGTGTGTGTGTGTGTGTGTGTGTGTGTGTGTGCGTGTGTGTGCGTGTTTGTGTGTGTGTGTGTGTGTCATTGGCTTTTTCGATCTTTATTCCAATGCTGTTTGACGCCAATAACGCTAATATCTTATACCCCTGTCACACCGAAACTTAAAAGTCCTTTGAGCAAGCAGACTTATTTCTAAAAAAGTTTTGCCTAGAGGCACACGACAGTGGGTGACCTCTTTTTGAGAAGTGGTCTTTTCTGGAAATAGCGTTCGTCGATCTCTTTCAAGACAGTAAAAGAGTAGCCTCGAATTCATTGAGCTCTAACAATTACCGATCAGTGAAAAAAAATGAGAAAATGTCAATTCAATCATCTGGGCTCATCCAACAAATAAATTTCATATTGTAGAACGCGTATGAAGCTCTTTTAAAGTTTATTTCTGGCGACGCTTATCGAGTCACATACACAATCGTAAGAAGCATGGCGTCGTAACATTCATGGCCAACGTCAGTTGCTGAACAGCCCTGAACTAACACAAAAAAAGAACAGCCAGAGTGATTGGAGGGCATTGTATTTTATACATTGTTACACGTAAATTTGTCTCGACTGGTTATGTTTTTAAAAGTAGTGCCACGCTTTCGGTGGTGTACTCGGAAGCAAACACTGAAGAGAGTGTCGGCGAGGCAATGCCTCTTCGTTAGAAGTCTTTCAACTTTGTAGCATGCCCCTTCCGTAAAAAGGTTCTGCGTACTCGTGTGGCAGGAGCATCACGAAATCGGTGCTCTACGTGGCACCTTTTTATGTGGTGCCTTGAAATACGAGTTATTTGTGGTTTCTGCGAGTGGAGGACAAGGCTCCACCTCCTCCGTAATTTACGCCCATGATAAATGAGCTGACATATTTACGAACGCGAGAGCATTGATATTTGTGAGGCAGTGTAAACGGGATTCGACGTAAGGCGGATAATAGTGCTGTGGTTGAGCAGGTGGAAGTCACTTGAGCTCAGCCTCACTCACGAAATATACACTGCTTTTATAGGAGTCGCGCAGACTAAGACTCAATCAGGGTCAGAAACACAGCGCGTCCATGCGTTCGTCCAGTACAGAGTCACTGTTACAAAGTGTTTCACAATGTGTTTTTGTGCGCAGCGTGCGGTGGCTTCCTTACGCAGTTCCGTGGCAATTTCCAGTCGCCAAACTACCCGGACCACTACGACGACTCTGCTGTGTGCCGCTGGTACATTTTCGCACCGAAGGAGTTCGCCATCCTCATCGAGAAGCACAATATCGACATCGAGGACGATGCCAGCCGAGCAGATTGCCCCTACGATTACTTGAGGGTGCGCCTTTGACTGCCTGAGTTTCTATATTGAATATGTTTCATTAACTGCGCGTCATGTCGTCCACAGCATCTTGAATAATTTCACACTCGATGCACGGGAATACTCATTTAAGACAGTCGAAGTCAATCTGATCAGTGACTGCTCGCAGTTTTATGGCCTTCTGAGCATGCGTGGTTCACGCACTGCAGGTTGTGCTATTGTTTACCTTTTCTTCTCTTTCCTCCTCTTCTTATTTATTGTTTTTCTCCCATTTGCCCCTTCCTCCGTGTAAGATAACAAACCAGGTGCAACCTGTTTAAACTCCCTGCCTATCCTTTGCTCTCTCTCTCTTTCGCTCTATGTGTGTGAGTAATTATACAAATAGGTGACAATGTAAATTAACGTGTACATGTGTCTCAGGCTCTCAGCTAAACTAAGCGATACAAGACATGAAGATATCACCGGCAGCATTTTGTCAGCTGTATATTGTCACGCATGGTGGTATTTTTTGCTGTTGCAAATGGGCACTTGGTTAGTCCTAAACATTGCTGAAATAAATAATTATTTTTATAGTAACTACTTAATTTTAGAGACGAAGTGAGTAAGCACGTGCCACTGCTGGTCATATATATTCTTCTTTCTGTACCAAAAACTTGAAATGCAGAAGAATGAATTAGGAGTGGTGTCACTGACAGAAAGTTTTAGGCACAATGATCTCAAATGTATTGCGGAATTAGCTGTTCAAATTTCCGCTATCATAAAAATAACTATTTAGGTGGTATGTATTCGCTAATTAAGTAAACGTTCAAAACAAGAAACATTACTGCTATGCGCAGGCAACACGAAAAAAAAAATACGTTGGACTAATTTAACTTGGCAGCAGTTGACTGGTACGTACTTTATGTATTTTACACCCATATAAATGTGCACTCCTTGTCAGGATCAGGGTTGACTTCATCAATGTGAAGGTAAAAGTCGTTCTTTGTGAAGCTTCCAAGTAAGGTTTGCAAAAAAATTCATGCTGGATGCCTATTTCAGAGATAAAAGGGTTTTGTTTTCTAAGTCTCTAATAGAAAGACACTTATATGGCAGCAATGGAAGACAGACGGGAACACCACCTATGCTGCTGTAGAATAGCCGTAAAATGAGAAACTCTTGAAAGAGAGGGCATACACAGATGGTACTGACGGGTTGACCACCGCTACCAAATGTGCAGGTCTTTGAAATTTTTGCTCCACGAGACACAAGGAGTAATGCGCGTAGCTACAGTCCAGAACGAAAGCACAAAGAAAAAAGAGAATGATTTAAGTTTCGTGCGGCAAGTTTGAATGAAGCATTTTCTGCCGAGTGGATGCCTAAAGCAGTGTTGAGGAGTTGCCACTTCTGAATGGAAAGGGATCCGGTGTCGTTCCCCATTTTCGCGACCCGGGATTGGAATGGCGATAAAGCTTGGAGGAATGGAATGGGAAGGGATTCACGCTGTTTGCCGAAAACAGAGCACATTTTCGTCAACGTGCTGTTTTTCAAACTTCAAGCATTAGAAAGTCAGACCTTGAATTTAACAATAAAGCAGTAATCTAGAAAGACTTGGTTGATTAGAAGCATAGGACACTCATAAGCAATGCACCTATACTATAATTCTGTCCTTATATGTGTTGCTGCGAAGTTTTTCTATTTTCTTCGCGTAACCACTGCCCTATAGCCATGGTATCAGTCTTGTGGAACTATATAGTGGCGGGCTATCCACCTTGAACTTTGTGATTTTCGCTCCCTCGGTGGCGCCTCAGCCGCATGCTGTCTTCCCGTCGTTTACTTTGTTTTTGCTTCTGCCACCATCGGTGACTCGGACGCATATTCGAAAAAATGCTTTTTTAAGTTGTCATGTGTTTTGACGCTGGTGCAATGGTTGTGTTTACTGCAAGCTTTCATATAACAGCTCGCACAGTCTCGTCACATATTACCCCCACCCCCTTGTGGCAATACTGTCCTCCCTGCCTACACACATTGGTGCCTTTGCCCAAAACTCTATCGCAAACGTCTGTATGTCAGCGCAGTACACATTCGTACACAATGAACTGTGTGCTGTGTCAACTGTGTGTGCGATGAACTGTTGTACAAGATGAACCGCACAGAGAGAGATGGAATATACTTTCGAAAGCATTGGTTCGGGTAGCCAGCCAAAGAAGGTGATCCCACGTAACCAAGGCGGCGGCTCCCTGAACCTCTACGCGACAATTTGCCACGTCGTATTATTAGCATTAACGTAATAAGCTTAAATACTATTAGAACATCATTCGTTTAAACATGCACTAATAGAAAAAAGGCCTGCTTATTCACTGAGTAAATACTAACCGTTTACTTCAAGCAAAAGGCACTTACCTTCTAGAAAGGAAAGGTAGTAAAATGCTGCTAAGTGAGACTGGCTAGTTTGCAAAAATGTTCGTGAATAATGCTGACCCGAATTCTTGATACATTACTAAATTTTTAGTTAACGGCCGTTTATATGTGCATGTACGTTGCCACATCAAGATAATAAACTTTCAGAAGTATATATAGGATAATAAGTGAAGTGCGATTGTCCGCGTTGATGAATTGGTGGTCACTAAATACTTCATGTAATTACCATGGCAGGTACGCATCCCCACCGCATACATAGAGGCATGCACGAATCACAGACGAGGATATACACGCAAGCGTGCTCATAGAATATCAATACTTAGCCGGTATCGTATACTGTGGCAGCCGTTTGAAGGCTACTTATGCTCCTACTTTAGAATAGCACGCTGTGTACTGGTTAGAAGCCATAAAATGTAGAAAAATAATGGACGTTTTGTACACATAACCGCCTGTCCTTCTATTATGTGGGTCATCACTCAGCAAGAATTTTTTACTGCAAAGTAATCAACAAAATTAACATTGGTGTGAATTTTTCTTAAGCTTGCCACGATTGCTGCAAGATATTTGGTGGTGTTTACGAGAGATCTGGCAACGTATGTAGCTTTGTAGTTACGTATTTGAAAAGACCAAGAAAGCATTCCTGGTTAGTAACGGCAAGCGTGTCAAGGTGTACTAGTTGGTGGCTAATGTAAAGAGATGCCACAAAAGTTGTAAAATACGCTGGAAAGAAGTAAATGCATGCGTTGCCAACTGTTTAAAACTTTTTTTTAGATTGTGCTGACCATGCAAATACATAGGGAGCGAGAAAACGGTCTATCTATCTATCTATCTATCTATCTATCTATCTATCTATCTATCTATCTATCTATCTATCTATCTATCTTATCTATCTATCTATCTATCTATCTATCTATCTATCTATCTATCTATCTATCTATCTATCTATCTATCTATCTATCTATCTATCTATCTATCTATCTATCTATCTACTATCTATCTATCTATCTATCTATCTATCTATCTATCTATCTATCTATCTATCTATCTATCTATCTACTATCTATCTATCTATCTATCTGTCTGTCTGTCTGTCTGTCTGTCTGCCTGCCTGCCTGCCTGCCTGCCTGCCTGCCTGCCTGCCTGTCTGCCTGCCTGCCTGCCTGCCTGCCTGCCTGCCTGCCTGTCTGCCTGTCTGTCTGTCTGTCTGTCTGTCTGTCTGCCTGCCTGCCTGCCTGCCTGCCTGCCTGCCTGCCTGCCTGCCTGCCTGCCTGCCTGTCTGTCTGTCTGTCTATCTATCTATCTATCTATCTATCTATCTATCTATCTATCTATCTATCTATCTATCTATCTATCTATCTATCTATCTATCTATCTGTCTGTCTGTCTGTCTGTCTGCCTGCCTGCCTGCCTGCCTGCCTGCCTGTCTGCCTGCCTGCCTGCCTGCCTGCCTGTCTGTCTGTCTGTCTGTCTGTCTGTCTGTCTGTCTGTCTGTCTGTCTGTCTGTCTGTCTGTCTGTCTGTCTGTCTGTCTGTCTGTTCGTCTAGCCGCCTACGACATTTAGCTCTCATGGCCGTTTGGATAAAGGAATCTATACTAAAACAGGCATTGCTTAACATGACTGTATGATGAGCTTAAGCGACTAGTTATAAAACGTGAAAATCATAATATGTATGTCACGAATGTCATGATTTACTACTTTTGCGGTGATTTTGTTCACATGACATATTGCAGAACCGGTATGGTATGACAAGAATGTATTGCGAATTTAACTGACAGGCCCTCAGGTGGAAATCATGACATGCGTGTTATGTAACAACATGACTACATGCCACGCTCATGATGCGCTCGTAGTTGTTTCGCTCCCTTCACGTACATCAAATTTGGTATTACGTGACGTGAATGAATGAGGAGGATATATGAGTGGTGCAAATATGATAAACATGACATGCATGTCATGTAAGTACATGACTACATGCCCCGCTCATTATTCGCTCGCGGTCTTTTCGCTAGCTTCACATATACCAAATTTGGTATTATGTGACTTGAATGGAAGACGAAAGTATTTGACTGGCGGAAATAAAATATGCATGAGATATCTGTCATGTAAGAACATTACTACATACCACGCTCACAATGCGCTCACGGCCATTGCGCTAGCTTCACATTTATCAAATTTGGTATTACGTGATGTGAATGGACGACAAAGATAAATGACAAGCCGAAACAGGATAATCATGACATAAAAATGATGTATAGAATAATTTATGTCCACCTCGTAACCTTGTGCTGATTTTATTGCGACAGTTCAACCTTCCTCAATCGTGCTTTGCATATAATCGATTCACACTATACCAGGGATATACCATTTTTCCCGTTAATTTATATCCATGAAAAGCATGTTTTACATACATGGTGCTGAAATTGCACACGATGCTAATTATGGTGCTAAAAGTGGAGGATACATGGTGCTGAAGTTCAAAAGTATCGCGACCCCGCGCAATTAATAAAAACGGGAGCAAGCGGTCGCGTTTCATGACACGCGCTTAAAGCCCTGACACAAGTATAACGCAGCTGTTAACCTGCGTAGCTACCAGCTCACTTGTCAGTATGAAGCACGAGAAAAAGCTACAAACTTCTTCAATTCCGCTCGTGCTTCACGAAATGGAAATATTTTTGTGGTGATGTATTAGTAAGCCACTGAACTCAGACACCCATATCAATTTATTATTACTTCAAAATATGGTCCAGCACCCTTTCAATATGCGTTATGCTGGGCGGCTCTTGCAGGAGGAGTTCTCTTTTTTTATATGCCGCTAAAAACTCTCCTGTTCAATGAACTGTGGAATGGCGCCATCAAAAAGTACCTGTGACATGAACAAGATCTAAATACACTAAAGAACTACACACAACTACTAGAGCATTGAGCGCTTTATTGGGAAGTCGCAGGTTTGGTACCTGCAGGAGGCAAGTTGCTTTTTTGTGCGCTTTAACTTCTTCACATTGATATCATGATCGCTGCCAATAAACATCACTATACTTTTCTTGGGTTCATTGCTTGTTGGTTCTCGTTATCAGAGAATGCGAGCCCGTAAGTTCTTCTTCTTTCGTTCACGTAGTGAGTGTAAGTTTTTCTAACTTTACTTTCTGATTGTCGCATCCTGCCCGGCAGTATTCCTTCGGAAACTGGAAGAAAACCTTCTGCGGAAAAGGAGCTGTGGAGCCGATTCTCCTGGACACAAACTTCGTGACAGTTCTTCTCAAATCGGATGCAAGTATGTCTGGAACAGGTTTCAACATATCGTACAGGTTCGGTGAGTAGCGTGGCGGCACTGTTATTCCGTAAGTCTCTTTATTTGTAATTTACCGAAGTGTCCAATGCCTAGCCCTCGCCGCACTGTGGACGAGCGACAATTCCACAAATAGATCACGTACAAAATTATGCGCGGACGGGACAAGGATTTATCCTCCCGCCTTCCCCGAATAGAACTGGCCGACTCACTTTAAATAAACTTTCTCATTCGTAAAGCAAGTTTCACCATTTCGATCACAGCCCTGCGTATGTGGTTGTAAGCTTCTTCCTCCATGAAGTGCTGCTATGTGAAATCAGTGCAGTTAAGAAAAGAAGGAAAACATTTAGCCGGTTCGGAGAAGTGTGCTGATGGGGAGTGAAGTGTTTTCTCTATCTCCTATGCATTTCTGAAAACTTACAAGTTAAGCTGACACTTGCTTCAGAAAAGTTGGAATAATATTTGTTTGACGGCATCGATTTGCACGTCTTGTTGGCGTTGTAGATATGCTGTTGTTCAAAAACAAATAAAATCAGTTTGTAGCAGGTGCCCATTCTTTACAGTATACGTAATTTCAGACAGAAGTTTATCGGGACTCAGTATCAATCAGCAGCTAAAATTTACTTATATTTTAAAGGATCTATGAAATTAGAAGTTTTTATCTCCCTATTTACTGACCCTCAAAAATCTTGAGAAAATATAGAGAGAAAGTGACAATGAATGGATGGAGGGATGGATGCGAAACTTTATCTTGAGGTGCATGATTCAACGCGCTGTCGGCCGCTCCCACGTTAGGACATTCAGGCCAAGCCCGACCGCGGCATCGTGAGCCCTCTGGATTGCCCAAAATAAAAAAAAATTGCATTGTACCTTTTTGCAAATATAGAATAAACAACAAAGCATGAAAGAAGACCAAGCAATGTAAGAATTAAGCACAGTAAACACCGCAGTTCACAGTAACATTCGCGGTGAATACAGAAGTTGCCAAGTACATGCTGATTGATTTGCCGATCTAATGTTGATCGAGCAAACAAGCCATCGCCAGTACTGCTTATTGTACTGATTTATGATTGTCCTTTCCATGTCTTTTTCTTTTTTTGGTTATTTATGCCCTTTTTCTTAATGTTACACTTAGTTTCGCTAAAGCAATACGACAGCACAAGTACAAATTATTTCATGGAAACGAAAAAAAAAATAAGCGCTCGTGCAAAAACAAAATATTGGGTCAAGGAACCGACTGCTACGACAGCATAACAAAAGGTGCTGTTCGCAAAAAAATAATAATAATACCTAGACATAAAGGAAGATATAACGCGACAATAATGCAATTGGGGAACATAAACGAGAAAGCTGCCATATGATCATGTGGGAACGTAGCCATCAAAGGGGAATTTCAAAAAATATTTTCATCTTTAAAACGAAAATATAATCATTACAAAACCTGTGGTATAAAAAGAACTATTTATTTGCTTTGTATATAGGTATGAAGCTGATTTTTTCTTTGAGCTCCACATAATGTAAATTCCGTCTCATTGTGGACCAAAGCGATGATTTTTTTCACATTTGTGATTTTTTCTCATAAAATTTAGGAACTTCAAAGTCCTCAGAATATTTTTAACTGAAAAAAAATCTTCTGCAAAGAAAGTATTTATTCCTCAGACATTAACACATAGCGCAATATTATAAGAAAAAAAGCAAACATGTTGAAAGAAACCATCATTACGACGACTCTTGCGTCGCTTTCTGTAGGCATCAGTAATGCAAAGTGGATTAACACGGGACAAGCCCTAGGAAGTGATCACTATATCCTTTCCACGACGTTTAGCGCTGCGAAGCACAAAGACAAAGTGAGGGGGCATATAGTTACAGATTGGGACAGATTTAGGAAAAACAGAGCAGACACTGTAAACGGGAAAATTAATGACCTGGATGCATGGGTACAGGCGCTCAAGGAGGATGTAAATAATACCACGGTAGAAGTCGAGCAGGAGGAGTTTACCGCTGATTCGAGACTATTACACAGGTGGGAAGCGCACGCGAGTCTCTTGAGAAGGTGGATGAAGCAAAAACATAATGGCATCCTTCGCAGAAGGACTGCCAAGTTAGAACGTAAAATCCAAAATTATACAATTGAGTTGCAAGCCAAGCAGTGGGGCCAGATTTGTGATCGCATGAATGGACAGTTTGGATGCAAAAAGACATGGCAGCTGTTAAGGCATCTTTTGGATCCGGCAGCAACAAAATCGGCGCAACGGGGGCAAATGACTCGGTTAATGCATCAATATGAAGGCACAATTGGAGAGTTTATACAGGAACTCCGGAATCGGTACATAACTGATGGAGTAGACGGTTGCTTACCACACTACTCGGGGGTGGAAAACTCAGACCTAGATGAAGAGTTCACAATTGCGGAGGTGGAGTTTGCCTTGGAGCAGCTGCGTACTACGTCTGCCGCAGGTCCGGATGGAGTTACTAATAAAATGCTGAGAAACCTAGATTTCAAATCGGTCGGGGCGATCACTGACTTGATAAATGAGTATTGGGTGGCCGGGGAGATCCCAGCACAATGGAAGCATGCTAGGATTATATTTATTCCGAAGCAAGGCAAGAAACTCTGCTTGGAAAACCTGCGCCCCATATCGCTGACATCATGCGTGGGCAAATTGATGGAGCACGTGGTTCTCAACAGGCTTCAGAATTATGCAGAGGACAAGGCCATCTTTCCCCCAACTATGATAGATTTCAGGGCCAATTTGTTCACACAGGATGTCATGATACAGTTAAAACATGATGTAGTCAATCCCGGGCATGGCACGGGCACCAAAGCTGTATTGGGGCTTGACTTGAATAAAGCTTTCGACAATGTTTCGCATGAGGCAATATTGAATAACCTATCGAAAATTGGCCCAGGGGTCAGGACATTTTGCTACATCAGATCATTCTTGGAGGGCCGAACCACAGAAATTTCAATAGGAGATATCAAATTGGACTCATTCGCCTTGGGAGGCAAAGGGACGCCGCAGGGTTCAGTTTTGTCACCGTTCCTGTTTAACATCGCCTTAATTAAAATACCGCCGAGGCTGGAGGAGATACCGGGACTCAAACACACATTTTATGCAGATGATATTACTCTATGGGTAACCAGGGGTAGTGACGCGCATCTGGAAGAAACACTGCAACAGGCAGTTAATATTGTCGAAGAGTTGGCAGGGGAGGCGGGACTTTCATGCTCTCAGCCAAAGTCCGAGCTCTTTGTGGTTCGGGACAAACCCAGAGGGCTACATGCAAGACACTATATTCCGCCACTGCCATTAGAGGTAGAGGTAGGGGGTAGGCCGGTAGCTGAAGCTCAAACGATTAGAATTCTTGGCCTATATCTGCAAACTAACAGGGAGAATAGGGTGGCCCTTGAAAAACTTATGACTACGGTCAATGCTACTGTTAGACTAATCAGAAGAATCGCTAACCGTAAGAGCGGGGTTAAAGAAAAAGAACTGTGTAAGCTGGTACAGGCGTTTGTGCTCAGCAGGATTACTTACGCGACACCTTATATGAAGTTGGATGCCGCAGAAAAAGGTAAGGTCGAGGCTATGATCCGGCAAGCTTACAAGGCAGCGTTTGGGTTGCCTAACAACGCGCCTACAGAAAGGCTGTTAAAACTAGGGGTACACAACACCCTGGATGAATTATGGGAGGCGCATCTGGTGATGCAGCACGCTAGGCTTTCGACAACCAAAGCGGGCACGATTATATTGGAAAGGATTGGCATTGGAGCAGAGGCTTCCACTGGGGACACTAAAATTCAGGTGCGGCGAGAGTTACATAAGGCCCTGTACATAAAACCTTTGCCCAAAAATATGCATCCGATTCACCATACGCAGCGCAGGCAGGCAAGAGCCAGAGCTTTACACGTTGAGTACGGCGAGTACAAAGCGGCAGTCTATACAGATGTTGCGGAATATAAGGACAAAGACGCTTTTGTGATTGTGGTGGTGGACAGGCGGGGGCGCTTGGTCGCCTCTGGATCGGTCAAAACCCGCTCCTCGGAAACTGCAGAGGAAGCGGCAATAGCGCTAGCTATAACTAATTCGCAGTCAGATTTGATTTTCAGTGATTCAAAAACAGCCATCCGAAATCTGGTGAGGGGCAGAATATCGGCGACCGCCGCACGATTTCTGCATGGGGCCACGGGACGAGAAATGAGAGAAATAGAAATTGTCTGGGTACCAGCACACTCTGGGAACCCTAGGAACGAGGCGGCTCACCTGAATGCTGGAGGTTTCGTCAGCCGGGTAGGTGAGCCGCCAGTTCCGGGGAGGTCCGCGAGAGATGGGCTGGTGTCCTTTCATGACATAACGAATGATTATAAACTAGAGCGGAGGTTTTATCCGCCTCCGCACAAGCGGTTGACTAAGGCGCGAGAATGCGTCTGGAGAAAACTGCAGACGCGATCTTTTCCCAACCCTTACGTGTTGAACAAAATGTACCCGGAGGAGATTAAGCCGCAATGCAAATGGTGTCAGGCTGTGGAAACATATGATCACATACTTTGGGAATGTAGCATAGTGCCGCCGCCGGTGGATATTGTGCGTGATCCCTCTCTTGAGCTCTGGGAGGCCGTGTTGACGAGCTCAGACCCAGCCGTCCAGTTAAAGGTCGTGGAGTGGGCCACACAGGTCGCCGCCAACCTTGGGTTAATGGCCATCTAACACGGAATCATCCTCAGTTGCTTTCTGACGAAATAAAGTTTTTCCATCCATCCATCCATCATTACGACGACGCTTTTTCGCTGGACGTAGAAAGACTGTGAACGCACCGAGAGGGTCAGCGAGGGGGAACCATCACCTGTTATCTCACGAGGAGTGAGCTGCACTTCGTAATGATTTTTCATGCTCGTAAGTCACTTTGATTGTATTGAACGTTTCATATATCCTTCAGTCAGATCATAATAAACTCATAAGTTTTCTTGTGTGTTGCATGTAGCGCAATTACTGTGGCTATATTGAGCATCGAACGCCCCCAACACGGCCGAGTTCGAATAGGGAAGCGAAACGGCTAGAGCGATAAAACGGGCAGTTATGGCTACAATCCATGCATCTTTGCTAACTTCTCCTGTCGTACCTGTTCCTTCCGAACAGCAGTGTTGTTCAATGCATTTTCACAACTTTGAATTTGCGAAATGCACACGTGTGTATTCTTTCCGATATCCATATTTCGATCACGCTGATCGAACCTGCAACGTCGGAGCGCAGTGAATGGCACACGGCTTGAGTCTGAGCATGACTGTGACACAAGCGCTACTTAATGTGATGTTAAATGCTAGTGTTCCATGAAGAAGTAACTCGGTGTTTCTGACAGCGCGAGCAATGAAGACGGCGTAATATGTTTGCAGACCACGTGAAACATTCGGTCTCGTGCATCAGTGAGGACGCTATTCGGTAGCAGCCTACTACTGCGAAAAATCTGTCAGGCACGCTCGGTAGACATGCGACCCCTCGGAGTGCCGTTCAGCTCATGCGTCAATTCTATAGTTCGTGCAGTTTTCTGTGCATCGTTCATGCAGGGTAACGGAGCTGAAATATAACCTTTCACACCAAGGCAAAAGATCAGGTAGTGAAGTTCCTTAAATATAGAAACTATCTTGGTCTCATATACATTTCAGTGCAGCTCGTGACTTTATTCGGTGAAAGTGACATGGTCAGTACGTCCGCACGTCCTATCTGTTCCTATGCAAGCGGATCGATCCTCCTACGGGCGTCATCTTAAATCGTACAGCGCGCCACCTGTAGTTCGTGGGCATTGCGAATACCTCCCGCGTTGCAAATGACGAAAGGGGTGGAGCCGATCTACTCTACCACAGCAAAAGCTATCGTGAACGAAACTATGTTTTTAATGTGGAGGATTCCGTAGTTAAAATGAATCGCAACTTTCCTAGTTAGCAAGATGCAGTGCACGTGTGCCGAACGCCCGGATGGTCATTACGAAGTGCGAGGGAAAAACAGCAAGTGTTACTCAAGGGTGTGTGATGAGAGTGCCCCATGATGTGGTATCAGTGGTGTCCGCATAATTTCTACGCCGTGAATCGCAGTTCTTCCCCCGTGCGTGCGAACGTACATCACTGGCGAAGGCCACCTCGAGATCCCCGAGGACAAGAGCAGGAGGAACATGCTCATTCGCCGACGGCGCTGGTGCTTTCGCAGTGCTCGGGGAAACAGCTACCAGTTCACTTTCGACTACTTCGAACTCATCGGCGAGCCTCCAAAGTGCCGCCACATGTACATGAAGGTGTGCCTTCTCACAATGTTTTACAATTTTTCGTGCCTGGAACGAGTGGCACTCGATCGAGTGAAACGCAATCATCAGAAAAGTTTTTGCGTCATTTGTTTCATTGAAATGAAGTCAGCCTGTCCAAATGATGAATGGAGACAGATAGCAAAGTGCAAAGAGCACTTGATACGCCTAGTGAGTTGACACGTTGAGAGGTACAAGTGGCGTCATGAGTGGTGAACGGGGGAAAAATTGGCTGTGCGAGCTATGTCTATACCATAGAAAACCCGTTCCTCCCCATTTCTGCACTAATAGTGCTGTTTTGCTTGTATCGTAGTGCCAACGGCGCTCCACTTGCCACCATGACGTCTGCCACGTGTGTTGTCTTGTTCGGAAACCTCTGTGCCAATTTTTAAACTGCTGTGCTCGAGAGAAATGTACCGCATACTTTGATTACGTGTGTCTCACGTCGTTTATAAGTTCCAGCTTGATCTGGTTCTCAGATTACATGCAATACATCCTGCCAAAATTGCATCACTTCCCCTATACTTTCCTTGGTATTATTGTCGGTTAGATCTCATTTATGTTGTGTCAAACATGAAAAAAAAAACGAGCCCTTAAGTATAAATTTATTTCTTTAATTCATTAACGAGCGTATCGTACTGGCAGACTTGGCGCCTTTAGATAGTATACAAGGGACTATTGGTCAGCCGTCAGTTCGTAATGAATTCACGTGGTACGTGACGCCAAACAAGCTTTTAAAGTTCGCCGCCAGGGCTACAGGTGGCACTGGCTAACACTCCCAAGTTTTGGTTCCTGCCCACGGCAAGTTATCTTTTCACCCAGTTTTCTTTATGACATTTACATTACAATTCAGTCTAACAGCTTCCATATATATATATATATATATATATATATATATATATATATATATATATATATATATATATATATATATATATATATATATATATATATATATATATATATATATATTCTCGCGTTTCACAATGCTTTGTAACGTAGCAGAGTCGAATGGGTACACCCCGATATAATGTTCTGATATGGTTTGGTATGAGTTGAAGTCATTTGAATAGTCCTTGTGATGTATGTAGCACAACTTTCATTCCTCTAAGCAAATCGCTGTCAGGGCAGGACCCACACACATTGTTCATGAAAGAACAGCGTCTAGTGTGACGCCGTCTTGCACATCACAACCAACGTAGAGCTCTGCTGGCCCGGTCGGAGAATCGCGACTGCCGTGCACGCCTGTGCAGGTGCTGGAGAAGAACGAGGAGGGTCAGGTGCGCAGCCATTCGAGGATGTGCGGGAAGCTCATCCCGGAGCCCGTGCGCACGCGCAGCAGCTCGGTGTCGCTGCTCTTCCTGAGCGACCGGCCGCTGGACAAGAACGGGCTGCACGTGAGCTGGAAGGTGTTCGGCTGCAACGAGGAGCACCACGCGACCACCGGCAAGCTGCGGTTCCCGCGTGAGGGCATCTACACCGGCTTCCCGGCCACCTGCCGTTGGACAGTGTACGCAAACAGCGGCCAGACCGTTCAACTCACGGTCACCAAGCTGAACCTGCAGCGCTGTGGTCTCGAATATCTGAGGGTGAGCGAAGACCACTGAAGTGTACGATCATCGCTAGAGACCGGATTATAGGCAAATGCTTATTTTGTTTTTTTGTGTTTGTTGATAGATGAGCGTGAATTAAAGGCTAAAAAGAGGTTTTATGGGGTTTTTATAGTGCCTATGAATCCCCATTTCCGCCGTTTGTGCCTGAATTCCTAAAGGAGCCCTTTAGATGCCTATTTTCAAGATCAGTGCCTAAATAAACACTATTCCACCTGAAATTTTGTTTTAGAGTACAGTTGGAGACCGGCATTCATGTAACCGGGCGAAATTGAGCTTTCGGAACTCTGTGGGCTGCAACCTATACTCCATCTAATAAGTTCCTTTCAGCACTGTCAGGGCTACAAGGCCTCTTAGCCAATAGGAAGGCCGATTAGCCTCTACACATGCATTCATCCACATCGCGTCATCTGCTCGGCATCTTCCCGGTGTCTGCTCGCATGCGTAGAGAACAGAAGGTGCTTCGGTGCAGCTGCAGGACGATGAAGAATGAATTCGAAACCGTGGAGTGTCATCAGGGAAAAGTAGAGAGCTGATGAAAAAATGCCCGCGTGGTTTTTGTTTTGTTTGGCATTTACTTCTTAAACGACGATTCACTAGGTCACACGATAAATTTCACTCTCACACTGGAAGCTGATGCGTGCCCAATGAGAAGCTCTGTACCACTGATTTTTTTAATTGGTTAATTACAAGCCGCGAAACCATTATGCAAGGAAGTGAGTTTGAAACCTTTGCCACTCACCTGGTGTAGACTTCGCGAGCCGAATTCTTTCCCTGTCCTCTTTGGTATCGGAGCAACTCGGAGGAGGAAGATCACATGACGCAGGCACATCAACACGTCATGAGCACGCAAGTTTACATTCGCATGACATGCCCTTGCCAGCTCGTGCGAGCAAGCGGTGTTGTGTCGTTTCAACGTTCTCTGTATTGTACTGCCTGTTTGTGTGGGATGGATCCCTCTATGCGCGCACGTTTGGGGAGGCTGGCATGAATCACATATCTTTACCGCGATACACAACGTTGCACCACCGGAACTTCTCTAAGGGATGATGCACTGAAAACACTCCAAGTGTTGTGACTGCTGGCACCGGCACGATGCGAGAACGGCGAGAACACCAAACCCAAACAAAATGGATTTGATTGATATGTGGGGTTTAACGTCCCAAAACCACAATATGATTAATAGAGACGCTATAGTAGAGGGCTCCGAAAATTTCTTCCATCTGGGGTTCTTTATCGTGCACCCAAATCTGAGCACACGGGCCTACAGCATTTTCACCTATAAACAAAATGGAGGCAACTTAGTCTCGTACCTCGCTCGATACAAGTTAAAGGAAAACAACACGCATGGGTTCAATTTTAAGTTTTAATGTTTCTGTCAACCTTGTACCACTTGAATTTTTTAATTGGTTCATTACAACCGCGAAACCATTATTCAGGTGACAAATTGCTAGAATTACACACGTCACCTTGAATATTTCTCGTAGTGTCACCTACTACTTTGACGTACGCAGGACAGTTCTTGGCTCTATGCGTCACCTACATGTTGGGGCATGCGCCCGTGTGATAAGGTCAAGTGGGGTTCAGTATGACATTTCACCTCTTTTCGGTGCGTATAGCATTGTAAACCTTAGCAGATCAGATTGTGAGCGCCCAGGGCATTCATTAATCTTGCCTGCGGAAATTACCAAGCCTCGCAAAGAGCCCTTTAAGGTGTTCACAGAAAGAAGAAAAATTGACCCAGTGCGGTAAGGTTGGACCAAGTTAATAAGGGGAAAAAGACCCTTCTGGCTTATTAGTGCTCTGGCTATATGCTCTGTGTTGCCCGTCTCAGCCATGTCGAAAAGAAGAGACTCAGGAGCATGTTTGTTCGATGGCGACCGCTTAACTCACCATGCTGGACTAAAGAAGGAGAGATTGATTGATTGATATGTGGGGTGTAACGTCCAAAAACCACCATATGATTATGAGAGACGTCGCAGTGGAGCGCTCCGGAAATTTCGACCACCTGGGGTCCTTTTAACCTGCACCCAAATCTTAGCACATGGGCCTACATCATTTTCGCCTCCATCGGAAATGCAGCCGCCGCAGCCGGGATTCGATCCCAGCTGCGGGGGGATTGAATCGAAAAGAGCCACACCAGCTTTTTACATGTTATTTAAATTTGAAACTCAGCAGCATAATTTTGTAAAAACAAGTTCTTCTTTAGGTGCTTACCAGAAGTTCCTACGCCAAGGCAACAAGAGGTGTTGATATTCGTTTCTTGCTCATTAAAATAATTTTTCGCCAAATTTTTCAAGAGTCTTGAAGAACTTGAAAAATATGTATTCTCATGTCTCAACTATAGCTTTTCGAATAAGGCATCATGATGCTCATAATAGTCGCAGTAATGTGGGTGGCTATTGCCGTCAGAATTTAATTCCGGGCACGTGGTGACCTTCTTTTGATAACAGCTATCATGAAAGAAGTATAGGCTATAAATTAATAAATGAAAACCGTTTACTATCTTGCGGTTTATAATTTTGTCTAGCTCCATAATACTAAGCACGAAAACTTTAGGAAAAGAGACGTCAGTGAACGCAGATGAGCGCTAAGTTCTGGATGTTCCACAAGAGACAGGTTAAAGTGGTATGTGGTGAGGCATACAGGGTGTGTCCCAAAAGTTCGCGGAATTTTTATTTTAAAAGTAATTTATTCAATATCCGTTTACAACCTTTCGAGAACTTTTATTTTATTAAAAATAATTTATTCTATATCAGCACACAATCTTTTAGAACTTTTCAAAATGCTATCCCCCTGGTATATAGCACCATTGCCAATGCTTCAAGCTATCTTCGAAGACGCTCAGGAAGTCATAAACCAGAACCTCCTTTAAGGAGGTCGTTGAAGATATTTTACTGTCTTGAGCGTTTCATGCACAATTCTTTTCAGGGTTCATTCAATCATTGGGGACAAAAAAGGTGTGGTGGTGCCATATCGAGGCCTTACAGGGGCTGAAGCCATTTTGGCCCACAAAAAACAATCTTTCGATCAGTTTATTAATTCTAATAAAAAAGAAGTACAATGGGTAATGTTTATACAGTTGAGACCTCAGAAATTCGCACTAGTTGTAGAAGGGGTCCCTATAACAATTAATGTTATTTAAATCCGTGTACAAGGATTCTATATATAGGTGTATACTGAACAAGACAAAATCATTATACAATGTGCAAAATGAAACTATTGACTATGCTCGGACACAATATGCGTGGTATCGCTTCTTCATCATTTTCGTGCCAACTTGGCTCATTGAACCATCATTCGTCAAAGAACAATGAACGGTTGTTTGATTGATTGATCGATATGTGGATTTTAAAGTCACAAAACCACCATATGATTATGAGAGATACCATAGTGGAGGGCTCCGGAAATTTCGACCACCTGGGGTTCTTTAAAGCGCACCCAAATTTGAGCACGCGGGCCTACAACATTTCCGCCTCCATCGAAAATTCAGCCGCCGCAGCCGGGATTCGATCCCACGAACCGCGGGTCAGCAGCCGAGTACCTTAGCCACTAGACCACCGAAGCAGGGGGGGGGGGGCACGAACTGTTCTTTTGGGTATTACACACTTCTCCACGTCCACGATCATCCAAACACCTAATCACCCGTTCCTATCAAGAAATTGGCCCATTTTCTGCCCCGAGTCGTCTGTTTGTAATTTAGATGCACGTCTGCAGTGATCGCGTTCTTTAAAAACTACAGACTTTCCCACAACCTCTGATTCACAGGAAAGTACGAATTTGTTTCATCGCGACATCTCAGTAGGCTTTCTGACGAATTTTGAGCGTGTCTGCGCTGTTTTTATTCTACTTTCACGCAAAGCTTGATTGCATGACACTGCGTCAAAATATAGTCGTTTCCTTTTTTTTTTCTCGACGAGAGTGGACCATATACCTCGGAGCAATGGCTTGTCCTGCGTCAACTACTACCAGCAAGGAACCTGACCCAGATTCATTCTGAAGTTGATATCTACCACTAACCCCTGCACTTGAGGCGCCACACCGTCCGGCGACGCTGCCAATTACAAAAAATTCTGAGAACTTATGGGATAGAATATGTAGTACATGTAAAGAGTCACTCAGGTGGAGCAGTTGCCGACCAGGTACACCAGGCCAATCCCGCCTTTGGCAACATTATGACCATGACAACCACACTAAATATATTAAAGGATCACGAAAGAGAAAGACGATTTTTCTCGTGCAAGTAAATCGCTCTTTACAAATACAAAAATCATCACGCTTGCCGCGACAGGACGCATGGTAAGTGTGAAAACGCGCAAAAAGAAAATGTGGGTGGTGAAGCCCTCTTCAAATTCTCGAACCGAAATTTATAGCGTGATAGATCTTGACGGTGTCTACTAAGGCATAGGTTATTCATAATCGGTAAGAACAATGTCCTCTGAGGAAGCTAGATACATACCATACCAAGTTTCAGTGCATTTGCTTGAGCCAATGACACCAAAATACGTAGAATACATTTCGAAATCCCCGGCGCTATGGCACGAAACTTATAAGTGAGACATTGGACTTTATTGTGTTCTTTTTTAATGAGCATATATGATCTTTGTCATTGTAGAATGTCATTGTATTATTCACAGTGTACAATTCATCAATATGAACAGTCTCTTGTTCCACTTTAGTGTTCCTTTGACGCAACTTCCTGCCCAACATGACGCCTTTTTTCCAATAGGCTTCAAGCACCGGCATGAATCTGCGGTAGAATACTCGACTGCCATGGGATGGACCCGGGTTCAAATCCCATTCGACCCTAGTTATGTTTTTCTTATTGCGCGCGATAGCGGCTACGGACACCAATGCGGGGGTGGATAAATGCGGGAGTTTTGTTGTAAGATTGGTGTTGGGAGCTGTTTTACCATGCATTGTGTGAAGCATCAAGGTGCACACTAAGTTTCAGACTATTTGAAGAAACAGGTGGCTTG